CTGCGTTAGAACGCCTCAGGCGGGATGAAACCAATAAGAGAGGTAATTATAAGAAGAGAAATGGGAGAAAGATCGAGAAGCAAGATACACTTGACTACACTTGTGTCTATCCTTGTGTTGGCATTTCTAGTTAACAAATGTGCAGGCAAGGGATAAGCATTTAGTTTAACTTAGGTACTGTCCCAAACTGCTTTCATATCTGCAAAGCAAGGAAGACTAATTGAATCTATGTAAATATCTTTGCATACCTGGTGAGGTGTGCAGTCAAGCGGCTTGTCATTATTAAATTCAATCCATGTGTGAAGGCTTATGTTCAAAGTCATAAACTGCCTTTAAATTTATTCTATATTTAGACTATATGAATACTATACAGGTAACTCCAAAGCACATGTCTGCCATCTAGTGTTAAGCTCTAGTAATCACACTGTTTCTGAGAGGCTGCTCATCGCTGTTTCAGTGTGGTAGTGGCTTTCCCAGACATTTCCCCTGAACTTTAAAAGCTGCTTAAAATATATTAATAGTCCAGGAGCAGATATAGTGTCCCTGTAGTTTGAAGCTAAAAGGGTGAAAATACAGGGTAGGTGATATGGTTCAGGAAATCCTGAATAACGTTGAAACAATGAACACATGGCAGAGTGGGTGAGGGAAAAAAAAGAAAGCATAAATATGCAGGTGTTAGACATATCATCGTACTTACAAGAAACATGACCAGGACGCACGAATGGGGAAGAAAGTGTATTTAAGTGACTTTGAACATGGTGTGGTTGTTGGCACAAGACACACTCTCCCACATACTTCAGAAACTGCAGGTCTACTGGGATTTTCTGGCGCTAGGGTTTACAGAGAATAGTCTGAAAAGATGAAACATCAAGTGAGCACCAATTCTCTTGCTGATAAGAGGTCAGAAGAGTGCGAGATTGTGGCCAGCTTATAGAAGCTGATAGAAGGGCGATATTAACTCAGATAACCACTCATTGCAACCAATTTGTGCAGAAGAGTATGACTGAAAGCACAGCTCTGAAGCAGATGGGCTTGAGCAGCAGAAGACCAAATCAGGTGTCACAGCTAACATGAAACTGAGACTATAAACTCACCAAAATTAAAGAGTAGGAATGAGGACTCAATTTGTGCTACGACATTTAATCGTAAGGTCAGAATGTGTCAGTAACATAAAAGCACGGATCCATCTTACCCTGCTTTGGCAGTTCAGATGTTATAATGGTGTGGTAAATATTTTCACTGCATGTATTTGGAACCAACTGAGTATTGTTGTACACAATGGATGTGAAGCTGACAAATCTGCAGGAAGCGCATGATCGTGTTGATACGGACCCAGCACCTTGTTGAATCTGTGCCATGAAGAATTAAAGCATTTGTGAAGGCAACAAGAGGTCCAACCCAGTAATAGCAAGCTATAAATAATAAAAGGGCCAGTGAGTGTACATTTGTAAGAAAAAAAGAGAAAGAAACCCATCCATCCATCTTCATCCGCTTATCCGAGGTCGGGTCGCGGGGGTAGCAGCCTAAGCAAAGAGGTCCAGACCTCCCTCTCCCCAGCCACCTCCTCCAGCTTGTCCGGGGAAATCCCAAGGTGTTCCCAGGCCAGCCGAGAGATATAATCTCTCCAGCGTGTCCTGGGTCTGCCCCGGGGCCTCCTCCCGGTGGGACATGCCTGGAACACCTCACCCAGGAGGCGCCCAGGGGGCATCCTTGCCAGATGCCCGAACCACCTCAGCTGGCTCCTTTCGATGTGGAGCAGCAGCTGCTCTACTCTAAGCCCCTCCCGGATGGCCGAACTTCTCACCCTATCTCTAAGGGAGAGGCCAGCCACCCTTCGGAGGAAGCTCATTTCCGCCGCTTGTATCCGCGATCTCGTTCTTTCGGTCACTACCCACAGCTCGTGGCCATAGGTGAGGGTAGGGACGTAGATCGACCGGTAAATTGAGAGCTTCGCTTTTACACTCAGCTCCCTCTTCACCACGACTGACCGGTGCAGCGTCCGCATTACTGCAGCCGCAGCCCCAATCCGTCTGTCGATCTCCAGCTCCCTTCTCCCATCACTCGCGAACAAGACCCCGAGATACTTGAACTCCTCCACTTGGGGCAGGAACTCATCCCCGACCCGGAGTGGGCACTCCACCCTTTTCCGGCTGAGAACCATGGCCTCAGATTTGGAGGTGCTGATCCTCATTCCCGCTGCGTTACACTCGGCTGCGAACCGCTCCAGTCCGACTTATTGCCGGCAATGCGAACCAAGCTCTTGCAACGGTTGTATAGGGATTGAATGGCCCGTAGCAATGGGCCAGACACCCCATACTCGCGCAACACCTCCCACAGGACGCCCCGAGGGACACGGTCGAATGCCTTCTCCAGGTCCACAAAACACATGTAGACTGGTTGGGCAAACTCCCATGCACCCTCAAGTATCCTCGAGAGGACAAAGAACTGGTCCAGTGTTCCGCGACCAGGACGAAAACCACATTGTTCCTCCTGTATCCGAGGTTCGACTAGCGGACGAACCCTCCTCTCCAGCACCCTGGCATAGACTTTCCCGGGGAGGCTGAGGAGTGTGATCCCCCTGTAGTTGGAACACACCCTCCGGTCCCCCTTCTTGAAGATGGGGACCACCACCCCGGTCTGCCAGTCCACAGGTACTGCCCCTGATCTCCACGCAACATTGCAGAGACGTGTCAACCAAGACAGCCCTACAACGTCCAGAGCCTTCAGGAACTCGGGGCGGACCTCATCGACACCAGGGGCTCTGCCACCAAGGAGTTGTTTAACTGCCTCAGTGACCTCGCCCCCGGAAATCGGTGGGTCACACCCCTCATCCCCAGACTCTGCTTCCTCCCCGGAAGACGTGTCAGTGGGATTAAGGAGGTCCTCGAAGTATTCCTTCCACCGCCCGACAATTTTCTCAGTCGACGTCAACAGCGCTCCGCCAGCACTATACACAGTGCAGGTAGAGCACCGCTTTCCCCTCCTGAGACGCCTGACGGTTTGCCAGAATCTCTTCGAGGCAGTCCGAAAGTCTTTTTCCATGGCCTCTCCGAACTCCTCCCACACCCGAGTTTTTGCTTCAGCCACTGCCCGAGCCGCATTCCGCTTGGCCTGTCGATACCTGTCGGCTGCCTCCGGAGTCCCACAGGCTAACCAAGCCCGATAGGCCTCCTTCTTCAGCCTGGTGGCTCCCTTCACCTCTGGTGTCCACCATTTGGTTCGGGGATTACCACCACGGCAGGCACCAACCACCTTGCGGCCGCAGCTCAATGCAGCAGCTTCGGCAATGGAGACGCTGAACATGGTCCATTCGGACTCAATGTCCCCAGTCTCCCTCGGAATGCTGTTGAAGCTCTGCCGGAGGTGTGCGTTGAAGATCTCGCGGACTGGGGCCTCTGCTAGACGTTCCCAGCACACCCTCACTACGCGTTTAGGTGCACCAGGTCTGTCCAGCGTCCTCCCCCGCCACCTGATCCAACTCACCACCAGGTGGTGATCAGTTGACAGCTCAGCCCCTCTCTTTACCCGAGTGTCCAGAACATATGGTCGCAGGTCTGGTGATACGATTACAAAATCGATCATCGACCTACGGCCTAGAGCATCCTGGTGCCACGTGCACTTATGGACACTCTTATGTTCGAACAGGGTGTTCGTTATGGCCAAACTGTGATTAGCACAGAAGTCCAATAACAAAGCACCGCTCGGGTTCAGATCAGGGAGGCCGTTCCTCCCAATCACGCCCCTCCAGGTCTCGCTGTCGTTACCCACGTGAGCATTGAAGTCTCCCAGCAGGACAACAGAGTCTCCAGGTGGAGCACCTTCCAGCACCCCCCCCAGGGACTCTAAGAAGGCTGGGTACTCCGAACTGCCACTCGGCGCATAAGCGCAGATGACAGTCAGGACCCGTTCCCCGACCCTAAGGCGCAGGGAACAAACCCTCTCGTCCACCGGGAAAAACCCCAACGTACCGGCAGCAAGCCGAGGGGATATAAGAATACCCACCCCAGCCCGCCGCCTCTCACCAGGGGCAACTCCAGACTGAGACAGAGTCCAGCCCCTCTCCAGGAGACTGGTTCCAGAGCCCATACAATGCGTAGAGGTGAGCCCAACTATATCTAGCCGGTACCTCTCAACCTCACGCACCAACTCAGGCTCCTTCCCCACCAGAGAGGTGACATTCCATGTCCCTATTGCCAGTCTTGGCAGCCGGGGGTCGGTCCGCCAGGGCCTCCGCTCCTGGCCGCCACCCGGCTCACAATGCACCCGACCCCTATGGCGCCTCCTGCGGGTGGTGGGCCTGCGGGAGGATGGGCCCATGTCTCCTCTTCGGGCTGTGCCCGGCCGGGCCCCATGGACTAAGGCCCGGCCACCAGACGCTCGCCCTCGGGCACCCTCCCCGGGCCTGGCTCCAGGGCGGGGCCCCGGTAACCCTATCCCAGGCAGGGTAAACTGTTCCCTCGATATTCTTTTCATGGGGGTCTTCTGAATCGCTCTTTGTCTGGTCCCTCACCCAGGACCAGTTTGCCATGGGAGACCCTACCAGGGGGCAAAAGCCCCCAGACAACATAGCCCCTGGGATCCCTGGGACACACAAACCCCTCCACCACGATAAGGTAGCGATTCAAGGAGGAGCTTTTCGAGAAAGAAACCCAGTTTATATATTTAAATGAAAAATGGTCTGTTATTATCTCAATTTGCACAATCTTAAAAATTTGCTAACAATGTTTCTGAACGTTCGTTATTCATGCTTGAAAATTACTTTAACAAAACTAATTGTGAAGTTTGACTTCAGTACAGACACTTACACACATAATTTGAAATTATTTTATTATTTAAAGCTTCCCAAAGATATCCAAACGTTCAAAGATTTAGCACAAAGTTGAATTAGCGATAACACATAGGAAAACAACATTCTCAGTATTGCTGCCTTTGAATAGGAATTCACAATTATTTCAAGCACTTGTGAAATGATTCAACATGAAGAGCATCACTATAGAAAGTTTTAGATGTAACGTGATTTATTTATTCTAATCCTTGATTCACTTATTGCCCAAATTTAAACAGCACAGTGTGACACTAAAACAGCAGAATTGCCTAATCCGTGTCGTGACGCATGTAGTTGCAAAAGTTAGCATTTCTGAAAATACACATAAATAAATAGTTCCTTGATTGAACCTTACAAAGTAGATGCAAACAAGAAGAAGAAATCAAAAAATTCTGATTAAAGTAAACGGGAAGAGCCCAGAGACATTTGTGTATTTCCAGATTTCAGAGGAAAGTGTGGAACACACGGGTTTTCAGACTTTTTGTCCGTGGAATATTCCTTGTAGAGAACTTGAGCAGCTTGTACAAATTTGAGCAGCTTCCAAAGCTGGAAAAGGGGGACCAGTGAGCAGTCCGTTTGTTCCCATGAAGGTTCCAGAAAGAGGACGAGCAGCGCTGGAAAACCTCGATGCTGACTGCGTACTGACCCGGCCCCCACTGAGACACACGCACCAGAGTCACAGAAGAGTCAAAACCACAGGTGTGAGGAGAAACGCCGTGAAACACAGACTCCCCCGGCCTCACAGACGCTCCTCTCTCCCACACCCTTCCGGCCTCCTCTGCTAATCCCATTCCACTGATGTTACAGAGGGCCTGAAGGCACACATCCCCCAGGGCCTCCTTATCAGGAAACTGGAGCAGGATGGCAACAAGACGAGGCACCGCACCTTGGCGTAGTAATAGTTGCTGCAGCTTAGCTGAAGGGGAAAGTGAGCACTGAATATTAAATCAATTTATTGAGCCAACTTTATTTATTTACTTTTACATGGGACTTGTTTTAAACAAATTTCCTCACATTGACAGATTTTTTGTAAGTCAAACATTTAGCAGAAACCCTGTTGGCTGCTTTCTATTTTCCATAAAGAGAATGAATAAGATTGTATTTTCTATTTCAGTACTGTTTAACTAAAAAATAAATAAATCCAGGACATTTGATATATAGCATAAAGCAAATGTAAAATGCAGTGTTGAATTTGATAGAAGCTTCAGACTGTGTTAACTTACCGCTATCATAAGACATGCGTGAGACGGCCCTCGCTGCGTGGAAAAGCAATTCTTGGTCTGAACTGGTCAGGACCGACAACAAAGCCGCAACCAAGCCCGTGTCACCAAAACCTTTACGAATCACAGCTGATGGGAAGAAGAAGAAACCTTGATAAAGTGTATTGATAAATAATATACAGTAAAGAAAGAAGACTTTGTACTAGACTAATAACACTTGAAGCAACAGAGAGAGAAAGCTTTCGGGTTCACCAGCAAACCTATAGATTAACATTATACTTTATTTGTATTAAATAATAAACTGTACATAGATAAAGAACAATATAAGCATTGATTACTTACATTCCCTGGCAAGTTCAGCCACTAGTTTTGCAGTCAGCACACTCAGAGGCCCTCTGCTTCTCAGGCTCAGAGCAAGGATTGGCAAGATCCCACTGATCACCACCTGCTCAGCAGCACCTTTCTCTGGACACAAGTGGAATTGCATATTTAAAAATAATTAATATTTTTGACACTACCAACACTTGTTGGATTCCCTTTATATAGCCTTAGAAGAGTTTGTCTCTTAAGAGACTGCATAGACTATATGTCAAGTTACCTGAACTGAATCTTGTAATCTGTTTTTTTGCGTGACCTCTGACGCTTAATTCCCTCTGCCGCCTTCTTATCCTGCTGTTGACTTGCTGGGAGACACAAATATAGCTTAACCTCTTCTTAGTGCTTACAACTGCCTTGCACATCTCGCTTCATGGGGCCATTTCTTATCAGTGTGGTTTTGCGGCCTATGATATAGGTGCTGTTAAATATTCCTACATGTTCGTATACATTGCATGCACCTGTGACATTAACCCCTCATTAGATTTACATCACACACAAAAAACAAACAAAAGGCATCAAATATTTTATATTGCTTTGCATAGTGTTATACCTAAAGGAACTTACTCTTCTCCTTAATGCTGGCCATCACTGTGTTCAAATGGGGTTTAAGCTCATCTTCAATGAGCTCCACACCAAGGACTCTGATAGCGCCTAAGGCATTGTTTAAGTTGTCTGCAGGGGCAATCAGGAAAATGGAAATATTAAGAATTATAAAAGGATGGCATAAGAAATATGAATGTTACAAAGAGCTGGGCAGGGCATGAAACAAAGCACGAGAGAAATAATGTTTTACTGCACTTTGAACAGTAAATATAAGAACATGAAAAAGGTGCTCCTCGTGTAAAACCTCCACACACGAAATCTAGATGTCAGCTTCTTTCTTGTTTACATTCAACTGATCAGCATTTTTTTAAGTACATGCTGAACCATGTCATCCTATGAGAAAAGCTCTTTGAAGCTAAACTTGTGCCCGGTGCTGCTTTGAGTCACATGTTTAGCAGTTATACTGTTTACTGTTTATTAGCATTCTGTTTGTTAATGCTGTTACACAGAAAGAGAAAGCCAAGGATTAGCTTAAAGCAGGAGCGTCAAACTCATTTTACATCAAGGGGCAGACCAGTGAAACCACTGCCTACAGTAATGACCTAAAGAATTCCTCCAATTGGTTCTGTCTTTCTTTACTTAGAAGTCTATAGACAAAAAAAGGACAATATGTCTCAGCTTTTCTGCGTTATAAAGAAATGCTGCTGTAGTAAATGTTTTTTAAATCCATCAACAAGACTCACTGGGCGAGTAGTAATAATAAAAAAGCTTTTATTTTTCTAAAGTAATGGTTTATCTGTTACTTACTCTTACTTACGGTCTTTGTCAGTTAGAAGACAAAATAAATGTAAAATAAAAAGTAAAATAAATGAAAATACAGTTTATGCTCTTCTTCTTTAAAATTTCTATATTTTTACAGAGTTATCCAATAGGCCAGACTGGACCATTTGGTGGGCCCTAAGTTTGATATCCCAGACTTAAATAAATCAAACACAACGATTAACTCTGAACAAGCAGTGTCTGCATGGTGATATTTGATAGCAAGCAATACACGTAGGTGAGATTTTGGATGCTAAACTACAAAGATGGACAATTTAAAAGTTAGAGCTAGATGGAAAGTTGTGGGACTGTGATTGGAGAAGGTTAGGGTCAGGTTTGTACCAGATGTACAGGATTCTAGTTAGACCAACAAAGACAGTGCAAAGTTAAAAAAGCATAAAACATTTTCCCTAGATACAAAAAAGACATAAAAATGATGTTTAAAAAAAAAGGTAAGCCAAGTATTAATAAGTAGGATGTATTATATATAAAATTCAGAGAATTAGGGTCAGTTTTGTAAGCTCTCATATATATACAATGTCAAAAGTGTTACTGTGTTTTTGTAAAACTGTATGTAAAAGGATGTCTGGACAACTACTGAGGATCAGCATCAAAGCTTACTAATCACAAGAAGATATTCAATAATATAATATAAATCTTTCATAAGAAGAGGTCTGCCATCCTTACCGGTTATAGCCAAACAATTTGGATTTGAAGTTAGTTGAATTTACTAGACAACAGTCAAATTTGTAGAATACTAATATCCAACTGCACGACCTGCTGAACTTGCATTAAAGGTTTTGTTGTGTGTATATATACACTAGTATCGGTATATAGCCTGCATATACTTGTGCAAAGCAGAAAAAACAGAGTTAACGAAACAGTGCTGCAGTAGAAGCTTGGCACACCTCACTGCTAACTAATCAAATCTGATTTACACTCTCTTCTGCTGTGGCCATCAGTTCATGTTTGGATACAAAAAACATTGTTTGTACAGAAAAGATGATCATTCACCAAGTATAAAGCTTCGGTTAGAGTGTTGCTCTTGTAACATAACTGTGATCAGACACATTTCAGCTTTGTTCTCACCGTGAAATCCATTTAAATGAAGACGTAATGGAGTGAAGTTATCATGCATATAAACTGTATTACCACACAGCAGTGATGTAAATGGAAACAAATCGATGCCATTGTTGTTCATGGTTGTGCACTATGAAGCTCAGACTTGAGGGTTGTGCAACTGTCACATTGCACAGGAATTAACAACAAAGACTGGTTGGACTGATGAAAACACATGTTGAAGAACAGGCTGAACATAGCATTGCCAGTTAAAAATTGTTTTATGAAAATTGGAATGGCCCTTTACAAATTCATAGAAACTACAGGAGAGCTTGTTGGTTTGAATCTTATCTTAGTTATAAATACAAAAAAATTTATTTCAAACAAGACAGCTAACATCTACCTAAGTGCAGACAGTTTTATGTGAAGCACAAAAACAACAACCACCACCATGCAGGTGCTATTCCCTATTGTTAGTGTTGCAATCACAACAACATCAAAAGCCAATATCTACGATCTGTGACTTCTAACAATTTTCTTTACAGTGTAACATATTCAGTCATGCCACTCTTCTACTCACCATTTGGTGTGTAAGGTTGCAGTCGACTGGATCTGTTTTTGTCCCTCTGGGAATGCATGTGTTTGTGTGAGAGGGGCACATTGGGGTGCCCCATTGTGCTCCGTGCTGCCATCTCTGGACCAGTCGTACCTATCTTAGATCGACATGTTTCAAAATGCACAGCACTTTTTAAAAGCTGTCGTCTTTTTTCTTTTAGTGCCGTATTTTCGAGTCATTAGCTGCTGCTTGGAGGACCCCCTATTTCAACTTACACATCCTTTTGACGACAGTGTATTTCATACCTCCCTGCACTGTTGCTTTTTTCCCTCTATTTTCCTACAGGTCTATCTACTCTGGCTTCCTTGTGCTCCAGCTGACTCTGTGTTCCCTGTCAGGGTTAATACAGAGCAAATCCTCACTAAAGCTGTTCTCTCTTCCACTCACCACTTGTGGATGTGTGTGCGTGTGCACTGTTAAGGTATTAGCACTTGGCTGACTCTGCTGAGTGTATTTCTATACTCCCGTAATGCCTTTCACCTTCTATAAAAATCCAAGTCAAAACAGCACAGACATATGGACATCTGTTCTTGTATACAACCTTATTATTAGGCGTAATTTTTCCCCATTGTGTCAGTTTGGATTAGAATTGAATCTGATGAGTTTATTACAACAACAACAGGTGAAACGCACTGAAAAGCAGTTATTCATCTGCTTATAAAACAAGATTCTTTTGAGAGGTTTGAGTATTTATGTGGGTTTGACTTTGGCTAGTACAGCTTTTCTAAATGTTGCTGCAGACAGTGCACTCTGCCAATTTGCAAAAACTGCTTTTCTGGATTTCAAGGAACAGGGTGAAGAGTACAACAAACTGCATCTATGCAGGGTGAACCCTCCCCTGCCCTCCGGTGCCAGACACCACTGGATGGGACACGAAATAGGTCAGAGTTGAAATAGCCTCAAAATGGGGACCTACAAAAATGTTAAGCTGGTGGTTATAATTTTGTTTTCAATCTTTAATCCAACTCTGGCACTCCAATTCTTCTCTATTAACTGATTATTTTAAACTAGATTTATATCCTCCCATGTACAACCAAATCAGCTCAAGCAGTGGGGTCTCCATTAGTGTCTGGCACCATTGGTTGCAGGTATTTTGGGATGTAGGGTGGTGCCACCCCAATCTGAGTTGGTTGCTTTGGCTCTTTGATATTTTCCTGAGCAGTTTTTTCAGCAGTGGTGGGCATTAACCCGCTTACCCATCATCAAATGCAACTGCCATAGCAGTGAGGGGGTGGGTTCAGACAGCAAGGCTGTTTAAACAGGTAGGGTGACAACACTCTAGGTTTCCCAGATGAACTTTAATATTGCAGCTGATAGGGGTATTTAAAGCCTCTGTCAGCTCCTGCTCCATTTATGAGATAACAAAAAGAACAACAGAAGACAATTCTTAAAACTAGATCATCCTGTTTTACTCAACTCAAGTAAAAACCTCTATTTCCAGTATTCTAGTACAGACGTGAAAATCTAAGGAATAAATACAACATTAAAACAGGAGACAATGTACCACAAGCCAAAAAAATATAATCTACATTTGATATTATCCATGTACCAGATGTTCTGTTGACTGAAAAAATAATGTATGATTGGATTCTAACTGATACCAAGAAACAAAACCTGTTACTGAAGCAGCAAATGATCAATTTAAAAAGATATCTGGAGATTTTGGAAAATGCACTTATTGGCTTTCTTGCAAAGGCTGAGATGACATGACTGACACCACAGCTGTATCAGGTACACAGTAAACATGCAGCAGTTTCACCAGATTGCCTAACTTAGCACAGAAAGTGGAAACTGTTTTAAAAAAGTCCATCCAAATGAAACAAAACATAAGGTTAAAGCCATATTTCATTTACTTTGCTTTAATAAAAAAACCCCCAAAAAAAACAACAAAAACAAACTATTGCACAGAGTGCCATGAAAACTTTGTCTTGTCACACTTGTTTTTGTGCATGGATTGAACAAATGATAGAGGGGGTTGTTAAATCCTATTGTGCCCATTTTCAGCTACAGTATTTCTTATTTCATGACTACTACAACAGCCTTAAAGAATTCACAGCTATCCTACCTTTGTCTTGAGTTTCTGCTCTTTGCAAACAAGGTTTTAGCAGAAGGTGGGCGCAAAATATTCAGTGCTTTAGAGTGGCTGAAGCCTGAGCTTTACTTGTAAATATGCTGACCTCTTTATTTTAAACTTTGGGCATGTTAAATATGCACCTTTGAAAAGAAATACATATTAAAAAAAGCCATCAAGCCTGTGTGTATTTCCAGCCTTACTGATAAGGTAGGTTAACCAGCTGTGGCTCTGACTACATATTACAACTTTCTAGAAGAAAGTGAATAGCTCCTTAAAGCCTGACACCAATATGTAACATGTTGTGATGATTTTGCGCTCATTACAGTGGGGAGCTTAATTTACCCCGACCTCTGTCCGATTGCTGAGAATCAGTTTGAACAGCACTATGACTGGGTCTTTATACTTATCATGTGAGCAAGTATCAAACGGGTCCAACTGAACCGAGGCCGCTGGATACAGTCTCGTAACCTACAGACACCAGAGTGAGGACATTACTCTCCACACCATCTGGCTTGCACGGCTCTGCCTGGGTCTCCACAGGTCCAGAAGCTACAGTTTCCTGTCTGATCTTCTTCTTGGCTCTGATTCGACCTTTGGCTTTTGAAATGAGCTTTCCTTGTTCTTTTTCCCCTCCAGACACCTTATGAAGCTTCTCATTGTCCATCGAGCGAGTTTTGCGGTGGCGTCTGCGGACACGGCGCATTTGTGGACCTGAGTCGGCCGGGTCAGATGCTGCGACACCAGACAGGATGCGAATCTGCTGTTCAATTACCATAATAATCATGTCCAGTGCAACATCAAGCATTCCAAGACCGAGGCCATGAGTGACGTTGTCGAATGCACCACTGTTGACTGGGTCCCTAAAACACTTTCTCATATCCTCAAGATGGTTCCTAGGAGAAAAAGGGAAAGTGTTAATGTAAACTGGTCGCTTAATTATGATGTTTTATTTTCACAAGCACAGTAACCATGTTATACAGGACCCACAGTAATGAAAGACATACTTTGTTTCAATAATTTTGGACCAGTGTTGAACTGTATTTGTCTCTGGGATAAGCTGCTTTGCCATGTTGCCATAGTCAATGTAGTCATGGGCAAAATCCTTCATATCGTCACACAGAGCTCTGGTGTCACCTAAAAAATAAATTAACCAAATAAGCAGCCGAGTCTTTCAAACTCATTATCAATTCCAAACATGGCTTTACACACACACACGCCACCCCACACACACACACCTCTAACCTTCAGTGAGTTTGGAGAAGGACGAGGATACAGAGGTAGTTGTGCTTGGCGTGAGGCCGAGTACATTAAGTGACTCCAGGAGTGTTTTCTTGCTGGCTGGTCCTCTGCTGACCCGAGTGTACGCTGCCAAAGACCGCAGGGACATCTTTTCTGGAGCCTGCAGACGCCTTTTAATTTCATCATATGAGATGAGATATTTCCCTGAAATTAGAGCAAAACAGAGGGACATAAATCAGCACAGCAGGATTAGAATGAAACAGCATCTGATCAAATCTGAACAGGGAAATTGTTTTTTAAAATCTAACATTTTAAACTGTAAGGGCTAGAATCAAGGAAACATTATACATTTGCTGAATAAATGACTTCAGGGAGCTGTGGCAAATAGAAAGCACAGCCTCTTTGATCTCTAAAGTTTTACATATCAGGATATAGGAAAAATGCTCTGATCCTTAGAGTGTCTTAAAAAATAAGCAAACTCTTAGTTTTTTTCTGGGAATTAACAGTATAAATATTATTAAACCTGACCATTATTAAGTGTGAGCACCTGTATAAAAGCAGGTGTTTTGGGAGTTTGATGGTCTGGAGCATTCAGGTGCACGGTAACACAATGCTAAGAAGGAAAGACCTCAGCAACGGTCTTAGAGAAGCAATTGTTAATGTCCATGGAAAGGGTTACAAGGCCATTTTTAAACTGAGCAATCACAGAGTCAACCATAAAGTCAGAGGCGAGGTTATCTGCAAAGCAGCCAAGGCCCAAGCACAGGGGCGAATCTATAGAATGGCCCAAAGTCCTTAGACCTTAACCAAACTAAAATGGTGTGAACCTTAAGAGAGCTGTGCATAAACAATGACCTGCAGACTTTAGTCAACTAAGCAAAGTTGTAAAGAAGGATAGGTCAGAAGTAGGGCTGGGCGATATGGCTTAAAATCCATATCGCGGTATAATTTGAAGCATGTGCGGTAACGATATATATCGCGATATATTCTTTTCTTCTGTATAACGTATTTTACACACTATAAGGCACACTTAAAATCCTTTAATTTTCTCAAAAATTGACATTGTGCCTTATGTATGAATTTTGGTTGTGCTTACTGACCTCGAACCAATTTTATGTTGTACGCGGCGTGCAGAAATCTGTCAAAAATGTTTTAGTACGACTTTGGTAAGCTATGAAGGCGTACCGCTTGATGGATTGCCAGAGCATTACGGCTGCCGAAGTCAGGAGCATTGCGGAGTAATCTGAGTCCAAAATAGGCAAACGAAAACTGCGGCATCACTGAGAGTTAAAAACTGTCTAAATTCTTTCATCTTTAATAAAATGATCAGCGTTGCTGCTTTATCAGGTGTAACAATTAAGTTTAACATCCAGGCATCCATGAAAACAGAATGTTTTAAATTCAATGGAGTGAGAAGTTAGCAGGAAGTTAGCTCGCTAGTTTCCACCTAAACATGATATAGCATGTTCTGACTGAGAGATTAATGAAAAAATTAAAACATATAGCTCTGCTATCACTTCCAACATAAATGAAGACAAAAAAGTAAACAGCAGTGACTTTTGTAGGGTTACTGAAATCAGACTAGCTGATATATAATGATGTCCTACGTGATCGCTAGCAAAACAGCTACGTTAGCATTAGGGCTGCCACAAACTATTATTTTGATAGTCGACTATTCAGATTATTTTTGCGATTAGTCGACTAATCAGATCATGCATCCATTGGACCAGCAGTATCTGCTTTTATATAACTATCATTAGCTTACAGCTTTAAGTGTTTAAGGTCTGTGCTAACTAAAAATAAAGACAAGATGATAGTTTATTAAATTTTAATGAAATTTACAGATTGTTTCAGTGAAGTTTAATAACTTCTTGCTATCTAAAATATAACAGGACACCGGAGTATATTCTCGAGCATCTCACACTTCTGATAATCAGCTGTCTGCTTGATGTTTATTCAGCTGTGTAAAAACTATAACTTTAATTTCAGCCAAACCGATTTACTCAGGAACAAATAAAATACTAAAAAAAGCCAAACAATAACATTTTTAAATTATCTAAGT